GAACTTGCTTTCGTATTCGTGCATGAATCAGCTAGGGGATCATCTAGACACTTACACAGACTTGGACTAATTTTTGCCCTTCACGAGACAACGGCGGGCAACCTCTTAATTCACTTACAGTGGCTGGAGAGGAAGGCAGCACACATCCAGACACTGGAATTAGGACAGTTCTGTAACAAGCCCTTTCACCCCACTTACTGTCCTTTTGTCACAGAGAAGGCTTTTGAGATCACCTGGGCCCATTTAAGCCACTACCCCAGTGTCTTCCATTTTTTATCTTTTTTTTTTTCTTTTTTTGAGACAGGAGTCTCATACGCTGTCACCCAGGCTGGCGTGCCGTGGCGCCATCTCTGCTCACCGCAACCTCTGCCTCCTAGGCAGGCTCAAGAGATCCTTCCACCTCAACTAAAGTTAGCTGGCCGACAAACCGTGCCACCACACCAACTTTTTTGTAGAGATGGGGTTTCGCCATGTCACCCAGGCTGGTCTCACCAGGCAAGCAATTTGCCCCCTCAGCCTCCCAAAGTGCTAGGATTACAGGTGTGAGCCACTGTGCCTGGCCTATCTTCTCTTTCCAGTGGGCTTTGGGAAGCTTTCTTTTAGAGACAGGTGCTTGCTCTGTTGGCCAGGCTGTAGTGTGCAGTGGCACAATCATAGCTCACTGCAGCCCACATGCTCCTGGGCTCAAGAGATCCTCTTGCCTCAGCCCCCTCCCTGAGTCACTGGGATGAGTGTGCCGCCCAACCCACTGGGCTTAGAACTTTCTTTGTGCTTTTTTTTTTTTTTTTGGGAATGGAGTCTCGCTCTCTGTCGCGGCTAAAGTGCAGTGGCGTGATCTCAGCTCACAGCAACCTCTGCCTCCCGGGAGTCAGCCAATTCTCTAATTCCTTCCCAAGTAGCTGGATTACAACACATGCTACTATGCAGCTAATTTTTGTATTTTTAGCAGAGACAAGTTACACTATGCTGGCCAGGCTGCTCTCGAACCTGGCCTGTGATCCACCCACCTTGGCCTCCCGGAGTGCTGGGATTACGAGCATGAAGCCACTGTGCCCAGCCCTCACTTTGTCCTCTTATCACTTGGTGATTTTCATCTTTCCAGGGTCACTTTTTGCCACTTTCGGCTGCCTATGTCCCTACACTCACCTGTGCCAAGTCCTAGGCTATGGTCACTGCAGAGACAGAGCTTCCAGGAGGCAGGGTTCTCAGCTCACTGCACACGAGAACCACCAGGGAAGATTTAGGCAACACAGTTCCAGGTCAACTCAGGGATGCTGGATTCCTTAGTCTTCGTAGTACCAGGAAACAGCATTTTTAAAAGCTCTCTGGAGTGGTTCCAATGTCTCTCCTCCAGCCTGCTGCAGTGGCAAGGCCAGCAATAAACAAGTAAACAAAAAATGACAAACATGTAGCCAGGCAGGGCGACTCACACCTATAATCCCAGCACTTGCTTTGTGAGGGCTGAGGCAGGGAGGACTTCCTGAACCCAGGAGTTCGAGACCAGCCCAGGCAACATAAGCAAGCCCTCATCTCTACAAAAATGTGCTTGCCTGTGGTCCCAGCTCCTGGAAGGCTGAGGAGTCGGGAGAATTCGCAGGCCCAGTGATAGAGTCTGCAGTAGGCTATGCCACTGCCTACCAGCCTGGCAGCAGAGGGGACTTTGTCTCAAAAAAAAAAAAAAAAAAAAAAAAAGGCCGGGCATGGTGGCTCACGCCTGTAATCCCAGCACTTTGGGAGGCCGAGGCAGAAGGCGGATCACAGGTCAGGGAGTTGAGACCAGCCAGGCCAATGTAATGAAACCCTGTCTCTAAAATAAAAAAATAGATTAGCCGGGTGTGGTGGCGGAGTGCCTGTAGTCCCAGCAGCTGCTCAGGAAGGCTGAGGCAGGAGAATCACTTAAAAGCCAGGAGGCAGAGCTGCAGTGAGCCGAGATCACGCCACTGCACTCCCAGCCTGGGCAAGTGACTCCGTCTCAAAAAAAAAAAAAAAAAAAAAAGACATGTGAGAAATGCCCTATGGAGAAACAGAGACACTGGCTCCTTCCTGCTTGCACACTGTAGCTCTTTCCGTCTCTTGCTCTCTGGGCTTTTACACAAGCATTCCCTCCGTCTGCAGCATCCTTCTCTCCTGTCTTCACTGCTTAACTACCATTTTACCCTTCAGATCTTGGCTCAGTATCTTCTGTAGGAAGACTTCCCTGATTCGTCACATTCTCCAGTTACAGTCACAGCAGTGACTTTCCACATCCCATTTGCAACCTCACACTTATTTGTGATTATTTATTATGTCTCTTCCACTATACGGTGAAAGCTTAGGAGACGTTTTATTACCAAGCCCTATCTCAATACCTAACCCACATTTTCAAGTCAGGGCTCAAGCTAATACATGGCCTGTAATCCCAGCACTTTGGGAGGCTGAGGCGGGTGGATCACGAGGTCAGGAGATCGAGACCATCCTGGCTAACACGGTGAAACCCCATCTCTACTAAAAATACAAAAAAAAAAAAAAATTTTCCCCCTCTCCTATTCCTCTTTTTTATTGTATTTACTTATTTATATTTATTTATTTATTTTTTGAGACAGAGTCTTGCTCTGTTGCCCAGGCTGCAGTACAGTGATGTAATGTTGGCTCATTGCAGCCTCCACCTCCCGGGTTCAAGCAATCCTTGTGCCTCAGCCTCCCAAGTAGCTGAGATTACAGGAACCTGTGCCACCACGCCCAGCTAATTTTTGTATTTTTAGTAGAGACAGGGTTTCACCATGTCAGCCAGGTTGGTCTTGAACTCCTGACCTCAAGTGATCCGCCCACCTTGGCCTCCAAAAGGGCTGGGATTATAGGCATGAATCACCGAGTCTGGCCTATTTATATATTTTTAGAGATGATATCTCACTTTGTTGCCCAGGCTGGTCTCAAACTCCCGGACTCAAGCCGTCTTCCCACCTCGGCTTCTCAAAGTGCTAGGATTACAGGCATGAGCCACCACGCCCAGCCTCCTCCTATTTCTCTCTCTTTTTTTTTTCAGGCAGAGTCTCGCCGTGTCACTCAGGCTAGAGTCCAGTGGCACAACCTTGGCTCACTTCATCCTCTGCCTCCCGGGTTCAAGTGACTCTCCTGCCTCAGCCTCCCAAGTAACTGGGATTACAGGGATGCGCCACCAAGCCCGGCTAATTTTTGTATTTTTAATAGAGATGGCGTTTGACCATGTTGGGCAGGCTGGTCTCCAACTCCTGACCTCAAGTGATCCACCCGCCTTGGCCTCCCAAAGTGCTGAGATTACATGAGTAAGCCAACACGCCCAGCCTGTTTCTCTTTTATTTATTTATGTATTTATTTAGAGACAGAGTCTCACCTCGCCCAGGCTAAAGTGCAGTGGTGTGATCTCAGCTCACTGCAACCTCCGCCTCCTGGGTTCAAGCCATTCTCCTGCCTCAGTGAGTAGCTGGGATTACAAGTACGTGCCACCATGCCCGGCTAAGTTTTGTATTTTGAGTAGAGACAGGGTTTCACCATGTTGGCCAGGCTGGTCTCGAACTCCTGACCTTAGGTGATCCACCCACCTCAGCCTCCCGAAGTGCTGGGATTACAAGTATGAGTCACCACGCCGGCGCCTTTTTTTTTTTTTTTTTTTTT